TTATCCATTATTTTCAGTAATGAATCTCTGTACGAGTTCTGTAGATTTGACCGATCTCGTAACCACCATATAAAATTAGTAAATAAATATAAATTATGCCTCTTCCATTTTAGAATGAACACAAGTTACAACATGAAAACATAAATATTTAGACTAAATAGCTTAAATCTCATAATATTATACATATATATATTATTTTTTATTATATTGACCTTTCAGCCATGCCTGGTTAACAATACAGAAGTTACAATGACACGGTACACGTGCACTCATGTCACCGTATCCAATAACATAAAACTGACCTTTAGTCTTTACAAAGTAACTTGTCTTGGCCTTGTTTTAGTAGACTAGTATTTTGTAAAATACAGTCACATTTCAATTATTATACATTATATATGTATATAAATTATTGCTATTTTGAAATAAGTTCTTAAACTTATTTTTCTTAAAACATATAACAGCAAATAAAGAAGTAAAGCAAACAATTATCTCTTCTAATTCCGACTTTTGTACTCGGTTGCTGCTTGACGTAGGTTGCTAAGCATTTAAAACTATTGCACATGGAGGATATGAAACAAAATAATTTTTTTAAGGTTTTATATATACAGTTGAATAATTAAAAAATCATAAATCACTATGTCAATACCACAGAATTACACTATAATTTATCAAGCTTAGTAACCAAGATGTATTTTAATCTAAAAATATATGAAATTTTGAGCAGACTAAAGACACACCCTACCTTAAGTCCCTTAAACTGGCTGAAAAAGCCACTAGGGGGACATTCTGAGCTTTTGATTGGTTATTCATGTCATATATAAAACTAAGTGTATATAAGTGAGCATTTCCAAAAATGGAAAGAGGTGGGCAGGGTGCCATTGTTTGATTTATTACATGAGCAATAGCATAGCAAATAGAAAAGATATTCTAGCTTGTCAGTGTTGATAATTTGAGTTTTTAATTCATAAGAAACTATAGACTTAGTATTTTGATTTCACAAACATTTAATTTGAACCAGTGCTGCATTTAACATACCATGTGAAACAACAATCGATGTTTAGGTGTTTTTTAATATTTACTTTTAAATTAAGAAATTTAGTAATGTATAATACTAAAATTTGAATTATGATCTACAGTTTTTCACATAAATTCATGAAATAGTAGTTCAATAAAATTTTGAATGTGATTCAACAAATGAGATGACATGGCCTTTCACCTGTGACCCGTCTCGAAAGGGTTAATCCTCTCTGCCTAGGCATCATTTACTGCAGGAGGTTTTAGTGTCTTACATTCAATATTTTATTAAACTACTTTTTGTTTATGTTATATCAATTACTATAGCATAAAATCATAGCTAATAATCCATATTTTAATAGTATATAAGTTTTAAGTTCTTAATTTTATAAGGAATATTTTACAAAATCCTGAATTTCCCCCAGTGTGAAAAATGTGACATTTTTTCTAGGCACTTCCTCTTCTCTATTTTATCCACCACCCCTCCAATAAGTATGAAATTCAATTTAAATTACTCACTATACAATTGTCATTGCTCAGACAACCATAATTTTTATAGCCTTCAATTTTGTT